ACTCTTTGTCTATTTACAATTATCAATGGGTGTTAGTTGTATTGGAGATAATAGGGACTGAAACTTGTTTAAAAGCTCCATCTACAACCATACGTCGAAGTTTACTTTAAAATTTTCATCCGATTCTTGCAGAGTTTACCACACTGTCTTTCCAAAAATCAACTATTGGCTCCCCATATGGAACATACCAAGTGGTTTCTTTGTAGAAAAATAATTCACATAGTTTTATTTTGTTTTACAATAAACTTTCATAATCTTAATTTAAATGGGTTATTTTTCACCCACAAAATAAGTGAATGGATATACGTTTAATTCAATTGGTGGCAGACTGGCAGTGCTTATTATTTAGATGATTTTGTTGAAAGATAAGATTGAGTTTGAAGGTCACAAAGAAGAACCCCAAGAACAAAAATTAGAGATGTGTCCTGTTTTGCAAGTTGGAGTTAAATTTTACTAAATTTTAAAAAAATAATTAAATAAAAAAATTCTTCGCTATTAAAAAATTTATTTTTATTTAAAATAAATTAAGTTGTTCAGTTCAACCTGCATGTTATTCTTTTTTTTTTTAATTAACAACTTCTCACTTTTCTTTTATGAGTTGTTTTGGGCTTAGAGAAGTTTGATCCATTATACTGCTAAAGCCCAGAGGCCCGCACCAAGATACTGCTTGGTGCTTTGCTTACGTCTAAACGGTTCGTTAATGGCGTCAACCACAACAGACCTCATTGGTTTGTGTACTACGGCGGCCTCATCCGGTGTCCGTCTTTCTCGTTCTACCGGACGCCGGCGCTTCAGTGTCTGCTTACTCTGCTCGCCAATGATTTGAGCGAATTAGGGTTGCGACGGTGGGTTCATGATGGTTGGGAGGAGGAAGCCTCTTGTGCTCTCTTCCACCAAATCTCTTGTCAACTCGGTGCTAATTTCATCGCGGTTGGGGGAGAGCGACCGTGAGAATATTTCCGGTGAGGAGGCGCTGTCGCAGTTGAAGTTACGTGCCGGAATTTTAAGGTTTTCCGGGAACAAAAAGGAAGCTTTGGATCCAAAGCTAGCTTCTTTTGATGATTCTGCTTTGGTGGGGCTCTCTACTTCTGTGTTGAAAAGACTGTCGATAACATC